GCAACAATTACACCTATAAGTAAAAATCTTACTAACGCACTAGCTAAAAGGCACATTATAAGATTAAATTCAAAGAAATAACGTTAGAGTTACGGGAGACTACATCCTGTATGCGTGCAACTATGATATACTTTTCGATAATTAAATACTTATCGTGTTCTCGAACTTGAACTCGATAAAACAGGTAGGTAATAAAGATAATTAGCTGGAGAAATAAATACTTTCCTGTATCGCCGGGTACCGTTCTGTTCGACGCAGATTGAATACTACACAAAGAATCTGTTAGAAATGATTTCCTGTTCATTGTTTTTGTTTAAAATAAAAATAATGATAGGATAAGTCTTATTTATGAGCATTAAAGTCAAAGAAATTGGTTTGATTGACATAAAATTAAAATGGCAGTATTTGGATCAATTCAACTAATTTATTACAGGTAACAATACCTTTGTGCCAAATCTTTGCCACTCTTTTTATCTTCTGTTTTTTTTAATTAGGTCCCCAAACTCTACTTTATGTTTAAAAAGTTGTTATCAAGACTTATTTTCAGATTTTTTTTATATCTATTACATCGATAATGTCTGTGTTTTTTTGTTAGGTTTTGAGCTTAAACCGTCAAATCTAATGTGACACATTTTGCTTTTGATCTCGAAACATGATTTTTATAAAATAATTACTGTATACTTGCCTGATACGATTATAAAAATGTGTAGGTACGAATAATTCAATAAAAATTAAAGACCTCATCAAAATTAGTCCAATCGGTTTTCTCTTGCTTTGAAACCCATTTTATTGTTATATAACATCTATATTTCACTTTTCTCAATGAATTATAGAGAAACATGGACCAAATAAGTTTCGCATCACTTCATACGATGTTAGCGAGAGGCGCCAGAAAATGTGCACGTCCAATTAAGATTTTCAATGCTTCTCTCGATAATTGCGTTACGTTGTGGAATCATTAAAACAATGATATAAATGCATCTTACAAGATAACTTTAAAATGTATTAGTACCAAAAATGCTAATTTGATAAGACATAATAAAGTGCATGAACAAAGGGTAACGAGACCTATCAATATCCTACTAATATTATAAATGCGAAAGTTTCGATGTCTGGATGTCGGGATGTCTGAAATTACTGATCGGATTTTGACGAAACTTTACAGTATTAATGTTTGTAACCCCGAATAACATAAATAGGCTATAATTTATGACGATCTGTGACAGACTAAATTTCACGCGGGTCAAGCCGCGGGCAAAAGCTAGTACTTAATAAGGCTGGAATGCACCATCTTACTTCCAGCGGTGGTGACGGAGCGCAAAGCATTTCCTCCTCGTCAAAAAAAAAAGAAAAAAAACTATAATAAACGTCAAAAGTTCGCCAAACTCCATACAAAAACTTAACTTTAACGGTAACTATAACCGGTGGGTTATTGACGGTTAAATTTAAGGTGGTGCAAGTTTATTAAACTACATTTTTAAAAACCTAAATAACCAAGCAGTGACTGAGTAATTAATTAATGTTAAAAATCAAATGTTAGGACGTGTATTCTTGTACTATTTAAAGGTCAAGTTTACTAAGATTAATGATTTTTAGGATTTTGTTTATGAAATAATATGTTAAAAAAGGTTAGGCTGATGATCTTATTCTATTTTTGTATCTTAAACTTTTTATTTTTGTTAGCCCCTATTCTTATTGACTGCACAGGAAACGTTTACTCCATATCTAATAAAATATCAAGATATGATGCGATCACATTATTCACGCTACATTGATTCGAAACTTGGCCAGAGTCAATGGAAGTCCCTAATGAGTGTAGTGTGGTACATGACATGAGAAAAGCATGGTTAAAATGATAAAAGTAAGTAGTTTTTTTTCCAAAGTTTCCATATGGGTCCCCCAAAAATAACAATAAATTCGCCAATATTTTTGCAGTAGGTAAACTGTTGGCAACCCTGAAAAAAGAACATTTTGACAGCTTTTGTTTGTTACATACAAACAAACAAAAACAGACAGTATTTTGGGTTAGTATAAATGGAATAATTAATAATACAATAACGTGTTTTCATTGTTAAAAAATAATTCAAAAATAAGAACAGATGTCTTAAAAATAGTAAGTACGACGAGTCATACACAATGGTTTTTCTCCTGACCTTCAAAATAGAAAATCCTGAGCGTATTGTAGTGACTGAGTTTCTTGCGTTGCTTCTTCTCAGTTCTTCTCAGCACACATTATTATCCTAGCCGAGAAGCACTGGAGCAGTGGTAGGGTTAATACAAAAAAAGGGGCGTGTGAAATTAATTTTGAATTTGTTTAAAGGTGCAAGCCAGGGTCAAAAAGCAAACAAACAAGGCGTTGTTAGCAGATTGTATAGATAGGAAGATAAAAGGAGCATAATATGAAAAAGCATAAAAATTCACACTTGCAAGATAATATCTTTTGCAAGGCGAAGATCTTTATCCCTGAATATCAAGGATAGTACGGATTCCAAAAAGGGAATATGCATCTGTTAACAACAATAAATGTAGGCAAATGAGTAGGAATGTTTAAAAACCCAGTCAAAAAAAGAAATCTTCGGTAGGTGTTAAGTTTTTTTCAATATCAATTTTCTTCTATACCTCACAATGTTCTATAATGATTTCTCTATTTGAGGTCTCGTCTACTGTCGTCACTTTTGCTTCGTCAACAAGTCAAGTAACATACTTAATTGCTGTGTGAGAACGGTCTTATTTCGTGTAGAATATTTTGCAGTTCCAAGGTCAAAATGGCCCTTTCCGTTCCACCAAAAATTCGTACAAAACCGTCAATAGCCAAAATGCATCCTCTAATGTTTTATGCAAAATGAAAACGTTTCTAGAACCTTCTTTCCTTTAGTTTTTTTTCACCAATCGCTGCTCAACTTGACCGTTACTATAACTTCAAACGGTGTTTTGTATGGAGTTTGACAGACTTGATATTTATTATAGTTAACGTATGATGGTGCAACTCAGGCTTAGTTTATCGTCCATCTTGTAATTTAGACCACAATCCAAACTCGAAGGGGCATTCGAAATTTGAATATTTCACGCATAGAGCGCCCGCGCATGTTGCAGACAGGAAGTTGAGTCCTTATTCAAATCAGAACTCCTCGGTCAAGGTCTGTGGTTCGAAGGATATGGTGCGAAGGTTAAAGACCAGTTTGGATTATACCAGTGGTATTGTATGTGGAACACTATTAAATTTTTTTGGCGGTTCTTGTGGACGTTTTGATATGAATCCTTATTTTAAGGGATGGACGTACTCAATACCTTAGTGGTATAGGTATTGCTTAACCCTATTCCTACCGTAACTAGTGATAGTAGCCTAATGCCCGTTTTCACCATCAATCCCTAATTTTTAAGTGACCCCTATGGTAACAAATAACAGCAATTTTGTTTACATAGGGGTCACTTTAAAATTAGGGATTGATGGTAAAAACGGGCAAAAGATTCTATTCTTGATCGGTTTACAAAATTTTTGGGTGTGGTGGTAGAGCGCACCTAGTACCCCACAGATAATATTAGATTTTAAATTCGCGGTCATTTCGCTTGTGCCCAATTTACGTGCAAAACTCAATTAAGTAATAAGTAAAATGTTTTGTTTAGATCGAAATCTTAAACATTAAATATGTACTATAGCAAAGATAAAGAATATTATACTTCGCGCCTCGTCCTCGAGATTAGTAGTTAGGTACATGTAGTATCGCATAAGTCACACCACTCCTGCACTAGTTGAGAATATTCCTTTTTCTGATTTTTATTTTTTAAAAGTGGGTAGTATTTTTTCTCCGCGGTGGCCGCCTGTCGGCCTGCGTCTCATTCGCAGTTTAGTGCTCGACCACTCAAGACACTTCTCTCCGCAATAGTACTTGCCGTTATTTCGAGCAAAAAATGCCGAAACGCAAAGTATCTAGAACGTGCGAAGAAGAACTGGAACATTTAATGCGTAAAATGCGGAAATTGGAAAAGAAAATCCAAGCCAATAATTTAGTGGAACCGACTCCAGTGGATTTACCAACAGTGGAAAATATAATCGAAGCAGGTATGTACAAAAGTGAAAGTGATAATTACAATAGTGTGTTATATATTATGGGTGCTACAATGCAATCTGAATCAGCCGTTGGGGCTTTTTCGAAGCATTTGAAATGTGACGGTTAGCGTTCAATTCATTGGGGATTGTTACCTAACCTACACAAAAAACAAAAAAAGATTTACTTACCTTATTTATTTCCTAAATATTAAATGTGTAATAAAATAATAAAAAAGGCACCCTACTTATTTAATATAAACGTATTTACGTTTCGATGATAATAAGTATACATCCTGAATAGTCATTGGGGCTATTTCACTGATACTTACCAATATAATTTACCTATTATAAAACCGATTATCTTACCTGATATTCGTGTTTTTTCAGACACACCGTGTGAGCTGGAACAATCCGATTGGCTAAATGAAGAATCTGAACAGGATTCATTCGAAAACACCGAAAAAGTTGCTAATGAGCACACTGTATCGGGCGATGTGCCCCAAAACGACGAATTAACCCCTCATGAACAACCTGGCGCGTCTGCGTCGCCCTTGCAGGACGAGGAGGCCACAGCTGCGACGCAGTTAGCTAACACGGAATTAGACACAGAAGTCCTGGCAATCCTGGGTGAAGACCCCTCGGTCTCTGAGAGACGGGGAAAGGATATTCGAGAAGAAATAGCATCTCGATTCAGCCATATAGCAACGGAAGGGTTAAACAAAGATACTCGAAAAGAGTTGATATCAAAGTACCCTATCCCCGCAAACTGCTCGCGTATTGACTCGCCTAAAATTAACCCAGAGGTAAAGATCGCAATGAACGAAAGTTACTTAAAACGCGATAAGGGTATCGAAGCCAAACAAAAGCAGATGGCAAGCGCCATCTCGTGCTTGGGTGATATAATCACAATGCAACTGAACTCCGAAAGTAAAGACAAAGATTTACTGCAAAAATTAATGGATCTCGGTCGATTGATTTGTGACGTGCAACACGCAGACTCAGTCACGAGAAAGAATTTTATTTTGTTCTCACTAAAAAAGGACATGTCGGAACACCTGTCAAATACAAAGATTGACGGTTTTCTATTCGGGGAGACTTTAGCTGACACACTAAAGACTGCCAAGTCAATTAACAAGTCAGGAGTCGAACTAAAGGCTGACCAAAATACCAACAATTCAGCTAAACGATCCAAATTACCTAACCAGAAGAATTTAAACCGGAAGGCTCCCGGGACGGCGTACAGGCAGCCGGGCCCGCAGCAGAGGAGCCGCGAGCCTGCAGCGCGAGCCCGCGCAGCCCCGCCGCCGCCCGCGCACTCATCGAGGACGTGGCCGCGTCAGCAGCTGCCGCCGCCGGGCCCAGCTCCAGCTCGGCGCCGCCTTTAGATACAGTTAAGTATGCCGGCCGCTTACATCTTTTTCGAGATCAATGGTCCCTTATAACAGACGACCGAACGGTCCTCTCTTGGATTGATGGGTACAAAATCCCCATATCAAGCCCGGTATATCAAAATCACATTCCATCGATTTCCATCCAATCCGGCGATGAAAAAATTCAATATAACGAAGCAATAGGAGATTTGTTACGTATTGGTGCTATATCCTTATGCGAACCGTGTGAAGGGCAATTTATATCGAGTATATTTCTTACCCCTAAACCTAATGGCAAATCAAGATTTATTTTAAATCTTAAAAAACTGAATTTTTTCATAAACACCGATCATTTTAAACTGGAAGACCTTCGAACAGCCATTAAACTTGTATCCCAAGATTGTTGGATGGCTACGTTGGACCTAAAAGACGCATATCTCTTGGTGAAAATCCATGAAGACTCCAGAAAATACCTCCGATTTATATATGACCAAAAATTATACCAATTTAATGTCCTACCTTTTGGCCTTAATACAGCCCCGTTTGTCTTTACAAAAATAACTAAACCTATAGTTAAATTACTCCGAACCGCTGGTCTAACATCGGCCCTCTATTTAGACGACTGGCTTCTCTATGGGCGCACCTACTCAGATTGTATCCTAAACCTTAACCTCACCAAAAAACTACTCACCTCATTGGGATTTATCATAAACGAAGAAAAAAGCATTTTTGTTCCCTCGACGACATGTAAATTCCTAGGAATGGTCATTAACTCTCACGATCTAACCATTAGCTTACCACAAGAAAAAAGGACACGCATCAGGTCTGAATTACAGAAATTTCAGAAGTTACGTCGTTGTTCAGTCCGGAAATTAGCCCAAATAACTGGCTTACTTGTGTCTGCTTGTCCTGGAATAGAATACGGGCTCCTTCATACAAAGGAGCTAGAGCGATGCAAATTTCTGAATCTGAAAAACGACGACGACTATGAAAAAATCATAAATATCCCTGATTCACTGACGACGGACATAAACTGGTGGCTTTCCCATATCTCACATTCAGTGCGCCGCATAAGAAACGACGACTATTGCACCGAAATATTCTCTGACGCCTCAACGACGGGGTGGGGAGCAGCCTGTCTACAAAGCACAGCTAATGGAATGTGGTCAAAACATGAGCGCGAAAAGCACATCAACTACCTCGAACTGTTGTCTGCTTTTATCGCCCTTAAAACCTTTGCAAAAGACCTGTTTGACTGCCAAATTCTCTTGCGCATAGATAACACGACCGCGGTCGCTTATATAAATCGAATGGGCGGTGTTCAGTATCCACACCTAACACAAATTACAAGAGAAATTTGGGATTGGTGCGAGGAAAGAAAGTTGTATATTTACGCGTCTTACATAAAATCAAGCGATAACGTGGTGGCAGATGCAGAATCACGGAAAAATCACCCAGATATCGAATGGGAGTTAGCCGACTGGACCTTCGACTACCTATGTCTCCGCTTTAACAAACCTCAAATAGATTTATTTGCCAGCCGCATCAATAAAAAATGCGAAGTTTACATCTCATGGCAAAGAGATCCCGACGCAATGGCCATCGACGCGTTTACTGTATCTTGGGCTAATACGCACTTTTATGCTTTTCCCCCTTTCTCAGTGATTCTGAAAGTCTTGAGAAAAATAATTTCCGAAAAGTCTATGGGTATCGTAGTTGTCCCCTTGTGGCCTACCCAACCTTGGTACCCGGTCTTTCAAGCTCTTACAGTATCTAGGGTTGTGACATTTCCACCTCATAAACGTGCTTTAATCTCGCATTCCAGCTCCAGTCGAATACACGAGACGATTACCCTGGTGGCTGCCATCTTATCCGGGAAGCATTATCAAGAAGAAGCTTACCATCATCTTCTTTGAATATTATGATGGCATCTTTATCGGCTAGCTCCGTCAAACAATATGACTCTTGTCTAAGAAAATGGTGGAACTACTGTAAAAATACGGACACAGAAGTTTTCATTGCGTCCGTCCCCACAGTAATTCATTTTTTGACGGAACTATTTAATAAAGGTGCCCAATACGGTACCCTAAACTCTTGTCGATCGGCCTTAGCAATTTTATTAGGCCCTAATATATCTAAAGACGACAGAATACAGAGATTCTTTAAAGGTGTATTTCGCCTTCGACCATGTCTACCAAAGTATAACTACACGTGGGATACAAATGGTGTCTTAGATTGTATAACTAAATGGTATCCTAATGAAGATTTACCGTTGGAAAAATTGACTAGAAAAACTATTACATTACTGGCACTCGTAACCGCTCATAGACTGCAAACTTTATCAAAAATAAACATAAAGAACATCAAGGTCTTATCAACCCACATTAGTATACAAATCCCGGACTTAATCAAAACATCCAAAGCTGGTTCTAACCAACCAATACTTTACCTACCATTTTTTCATCAAAAGCCTGCAATATGCCCTGCTAAAACTCTGCTCTGCTATATTAAAAAACTGGCACCTTTAAGGAAATCTGATCTATTGTTCGTAGGTATTAAAAAGCCTCATAAATCAGTCGGTACTCAGACTCTCAGCCGATGGGTTAAAACGGCACTGAGTGAGTGTGGGATCGACACGTCTGTCTTCTCGGCGCACAGTACAAGGCATGCCAGCACGTCGCGCGCGCACTCACTCGGCGTAAATGTTGATGCCATCCGGAACACAGCTGGCTGGAGCGGCAATTCGACGGTATTCGCTAGGTTCTACAATAGAACTATTATAAACAATGATTGTACATTATTAGCTCAGTCAATTATTGGTAATGAACAAATTTAAATCAAATACAGAAAATGTTATGTTTCGTTTAATTACATAATATCTATCATGTTTTATGTTACATACATAACTGTTAAAATTATTATGATAATAATTGTATTCATGTTATGACAAGAAAAATCTTTCTTTTCTATTTACTTAAATAATCATGTATTAACGTTAATTATATACTGGAATAAACACTTATTTTTTTTCAATTAAAAAGTGTTATCATTGACGATATTTCTACAATACACTTACTCTCAAAGTCTACATGTACCTAACTACTAATCTCGAGGACGAGGCGCGAAGTATAATTGATGATTAAACGAACTTACCTGTAAGTGAAGTTCTATCATAATTATACGAAGCGCCTCGTCCGAAGAGATTAGTAACCTCCCGCCCGCCCTATAAACCCGTTACTAATCACCTTAGAAATACGTCAATGACTTGAAAGTTATTACTCTAAACTAAATGAGACGCAGGCCGACGGGCGGCCACCGCGGAGAAAAAAAAATACTACCCACTTTTAAAAAATAAAAATCATAAAAAGGAATATTCTCAACTAGTGCAGGAGTGGTGTGACTTATGCGATACTACATGTACCTAACTACTAATCTCTTCGGACGAGGCGCTTCGTATAATTATGATAGAACTTCACTTACAGGTAAGTTCGTTTAATCATCAAAAATAATTAGGTTTTAAAGCAAGTTTCATCGTATTTTTATCAATCATTATTTCAGTCTTTATAATTTAGTAATCAATATTTACCAAGTATTATCTTCTGACGAGTACTCAGACTCTGACTCCAAGCAAGCTGCAGCAGCGCTACGATTCTTGTACTCGGATTCCGACCTGTAAGTAAATTATTTGAAAAATAACAAAGACTAGTGTATGTCTGAACGGACTGTGAAATAAACAATGATAGTACTGGGGATTGAGTATTTTAGTAGTCTCAACGACCTGAAACCCTAAATTCAGATACCAAAACAAAACAGTTGCACTGAATCTACTATGTCTAAACCTTGAGAACCAAAAATATTATTTATTATAATAAAATAACTCACGAACATTTTCCCAGAAGTGAAGCTGAAGCGCAGAGTTACGGCACGAAGAATCGAAGATGATCAGATATGAATCGCAGAAAATAATGATAAATACTTCACTTACCGCTTATTTTATATCCAAATTTTCACTCACACAAACACTGTAAAACAGTCAAAATAACGCACACACCAAATAATGCTNGCAGAAAACTTTACTCCACCCGGTGCCAGAAATGTAAAACTTACGCCAAATTTGTACAATAAATATAACTATATTATCCACTACGTTCATTTAAAGACATGTATTCAACATGGATTACGCCTAAAAAAAATTCATAAAGGAATATCGTTTAGACAAAGCCCATACTTAAAGGAATATATAGATTTAAATACTCAGTTGCGACAAAATTCAAATTCGTTATTTGAGCAAGACTTTTTCAAATTGCTTAACAACAGCATTTTTGGAAAAACATTAGAAGACACTGAACGAAGAGTAGATGTAAAACTTGTTAGCACGTGGCAGGACGAGCGGAACAAAACCAAGAAATGTTTTACCGCTGAACAATTGATATCACGTCCTAATTTTCATAGTGAATAGAATAGAATAGAATAGAATACCTTTATTCAGCATTAACATTTATGTGCATACATATACAGAGGTTAAATATTACTGAGCCATGCTGAAAAGGCGCCCGCTCAGCGAAAATCGTGACATGACACACACAAGTCGTCAAGTCACGAAGCTGGTTTTCAGCGGGTACCAACATGGGGGTTATTACGCCAATTATGCGTCCTTTTGACAGTGACGAAGTTTATCAATAAAATTTGTGTCGGTTCGTAACACTTCCTGGCAAAAAGACGCGCAACAGAGGGCGCTGCTGTTAAAATAAAAACAATTTATTTACAAAAATACAAAAAAAAAAATAAAAAAAAAAGGTAGACCTAAAATATTACATTTACAGAATATTTATAAAAATAAACTCCACAATTGTTCCAAGACGTACACTAAACAAAATAACGAGACTAGAACACAATCAGTTAACGGTATTTATTAATTAAAAAAAATAAAAAAATAAAAAAACGGTATAACGTATAACGTTTTCACTATAAAAATAACTTTAATACTTATGTGATCTGTGAGGCGGCTTCGGACTGCTGGCCTGTCGTTGTGTTGATTCGGACCGTAAAAAAGAGAAAAGAACAATAAAAAAAGAAAAAGTCAATAGCGAAAGGACGCTGTGTTCAGCTGTGTTTTTCTGATTTGATACGAAATACGTGCTTTAATGTTGATGCGAAAATTTTCGCTGTGCGAAGCGTCTCAAAACAAAACAAAACCCGGCGGAAACCGGAAAGGTGTGAGGTGCATAATGTGACACACGTCCTGCAGGGCAGATGCTATTAAATGGAGTAAGAGGAGCGAGCAACTACGGCGAGCACGACGCGCAAAGTCCCCAGGCGAGTCCAAAGTAATTTGTGCCAGTAAAGCACGTGTAACATGTATAACACAACAAAGATCAACCATAACTGTGATCATACTCCACAGGGCGCGCCCAGCTCGGCTTCGGCTGAGAAGGATAAAGCGACCATGCTGAAGCTGTCCCAAAAGCCATCTGACTGTTAATTACGGCGGGATCGACCCGCCAACCCCTGCAAGCGCGACGACGACATATAGGTATGCGATACAATGCCATCTGCCCTCTGTGACGTGAGCAAGTGTTTCTTGACATGTGATCTAAAAGTGTGTTTTGTTTGCAGGTTGCGCAAAGGAGGTGGCAGGTCGTTCCAACACCGTGTGGCAGCAAATCTGAAAGATCCCCTGAACGCCACGGTGCGATGCTTTGGGGTGGCAAAGATGTGTGCGCAGACCCTTCTGGAGTGACCCTCCCTGCTCCCGGCCCAGTCAAGCTTATCGTACAAATACCTTGGTCTATGTGTGGCAATGATACCAAACATCATGGTAGCAAGATGTAATTTTCTACGAGCAGCCATTTTCAATTTATTGGCAGCGTTGAGAAATGGGGTGACATGCGCTCGAGGTGGCACTGTGAAGCAGAAGCGGGCACAAGCATTTTGCACTCTTTGGACCAGCCTAGCAGACCTGGCCATGAGACAGGGTCCATACACAGTGTCACAGTAGTTGAGCTTACTGAGAACAAGGGACTCACATAGTGCAATTCGTATACTAGTGTGTCAATATTTGATGAAGATTTAGTAGCTATACAATTAAAACGTGATAAAGTTATTCTTGACAAGCCCATATANCCATTTTCAGTATATTGGCAGCGTTGAGGAATGGGGTGACATGCGCTCGAGGTGGCACTGTGAAGCAGAAGCGGGCACAAGCATTTTGCACTCTTTGCACCAGCTTGGCAGACCTGGCCATGAGACAGGGTCCATACACAGTGTCACAGTAGTTGAGCTTACTGAGGACAAGGGACTCACATAGTGCAATTCGTATACTCTCGCATAGATATGGCCTTAGCTTGTATAATATTTTGAGTCTGTAGAAGCAGTTTCTTGCGCATTCAGTAATGTGGGTTTCAAATCTTAGCTGGCTCTCGAAAATGAGTCCCAGATTTCTAACCTTATCCACTTTCTCGATCCGTTCTCCATTAATCTGGATATCGAGAGACTTATTCGCTAGTTTGATAGTGTTTTTAGGGGTTCCTATCAGTATTAACTGAGATTTTTTAGGGTTCAGGGTAAGACCGTTCGAGACGCACCAAGCAGAAACCCTCCCCAAGTCATCATTTACCTTGATCACAGCTGCGTCACACTTATCAGGCTCAAATGGAAGGTACAATTGCAAGTCATCTGCATAAATGTGATAGTTGCAATATTTGATGCTATTTATGATGTCAGCACTGTACAAGATGTATAAAATTGGCCCTAATATCGAGCCCTGGGGGACCCCGCGAGTCACCTGGTGGACCTGCGAACGCAATATTTCTTTGCGTCCATCCTCCCGCCTCAGTTCCACGTACTGCTTTCTTCCTGACAAGTAACTATGGAACCATTTTACAGAACTACTATCAAGACCATAATAATGCAGTTTAGACAGCAAGAGCGAGGTGTTGATAGAATCGAAGGCACGCGAGAAGTCGAGCAACAGCATGACTGCAACGGTACCCCGATCCTGAGCAGCCAATAAGTTGTCGACCACATCAGCAAGAGTCGACAGGACACACAACCGCCTCATACAACTCGACTTTCCAAAGTGTTGCCAACTGCTCGAAAAATGAATTCCAAAATTTCGAAATTTTCAACTTTTCACAAAATGGCCGCCCACGCCGCCGCCATCTTGATTTTCTGACATTTCGGATTTTTCCCATAATCTGGGTCGTATATGCGACCAAACGTCATTTAAATTTTTTTTCTGCCATAATTCTTTCTGTCTGTCACTAACTTTAAAGACACCCATGTCGCAAAAAAAACTTTTCCCCATAACTTTCAGTGTTGCCAGACTTTTTTGATAAAAATGGTGAAATGTCATTCGGGTCCCCAAACGTCACCAAACTGCATACCAAGTTTTTGGAATTTCTGGAAATTTCCATTTTCTACTATCCGGGGCCGTGGTGGAAAATTTTCTTCCAAAATGGTAGTTTTTTCCGACTCATGGCAATACTCGAATAACAGACCAACAATCGCCCGGAACATTGTACCCAGTGTTGGAATTGCGCTCTTCGAAAATTATTGTCTATGGAAGATAAAAAGATAGTATTTCTTGAAAAATATAGTACGTTAGGTAAATAGGGATTTGAATGAAAAAATAAAGTTTAATTAAATAAGGAAACCTTTAATTAAAATGTTATTGGTCCAGGTCGCATTATTGTCTATGGAATGTTGATCACCATTTCAGCAATTTCCTCATAATGAAGCTGTGTTTCATCGTCTTTGTCCTTGGCCTTAACCCTTTGCAACATATCCGCTGTTGGTTTAAACTCTATACAATTTTTG